GTTAGAAAGTCAGTTCCGAATGCAATCTGGTTATATTAGTAGTTGAGATCCGTACCAGAACTTAGACTACTATAATTAAATATTAGACTACTCTATTTAACTCTAATCTATTATCACATACATACTATGAACCATATATTATCCCTCCTTTTTTTACAGCTAGTGTTCCATATAACTGATTTCTTAACACTGAATGCATAACATAGTGAGAGCACATAAATATTTAATGAAGGGGATTGCATTGCTGACCCCTGTGCTAGATGTTTAAACCCTAGTTCAATGATTGTTACCTAAGGATCAACCATCCAATATGTAACTCTACATTTCACTGCAAAAACTTTATAGAACACTAAGGTAACAGGTAATAAATATTATACCTTAAATATAAGAATAATAGCAGGCTCTTAATATTACTTGAGTTTTACAAAATTGGTTTAAAATTAAATGTTACCTTCATTTTGAGTCCTTGAATCTGGAATATCTAATTTTTCAGTCCTAAGAGAGCAACTATCTCCCAAACTATTAACAATATAGCCCTGACTGGTTTCCCTAACCCCTTGCCTTAAAAAACAACTTGGTACCCATGTTTTAGACAAACTTTCCTTAATATTATCTTCTAAAGTCTTCACAATTCTCGAAACATAACCAATCTGTTCAACAGAAACAGTTTTAATAGTTTCTCGAGGTAATCTTTCAATTAAAAAAATTAAAACCCTCCTAACTTCTTCTTCATTATAATATAAAATAGATTGGTATCCCATATCCTCTCGAAATCCTAAATCTTTTATTTGTTCAGCCATATTGGAAGCTAATTTCAGTCTTGCACTCATAGAAGGGGGCAGTTTTTTGGGAAAGGAACTGTGTAAAATCGCTTCTAAACATGAGGAAACTGCACCTGTAACCATATCGGCGTCAAACTGCTTTAAATTTTTAATTTTAACACCAATATCACTAAAAGTATAACAAATTAATTTACAGCTGTTCAGAAGTACCTAGATAGAACTAGTATACCATTCTAAATTTCTTAATGACTCTATAATAATCTTATCGACTTCTTCCATGATAAATAATACATATAAGGCTTTTTTTGTGTGAAAACCATAAATAATTGTATCTAATTTATTAATTTCTTTGTAAATGAAAATCTTTTATCCATTATTTATTTTTGTACCTGCCTAGTTCACCTCACCTTGAATGTAACATATGACATGTGTCACCACAACAATCAAAGTCAAATCTTCTATCTCAATTATCTCATACCTCTAACGAATGTATCATACGGATCTGAATTCTTGAGTCATATAAAAAATGAAAAATTCGATTTATCTCTTGTTAGAAATAATATTTTAAGATATTTTTCAAGTCAGTATGCTGAGAAAGTGTCTAATTTATTTTGGTAATTGCATTTTCTAAATTTTGATCACTTGCAGCTATATAGTAGGGCCAAGAGCGTCGTCAGCAAATACATTTAAAAATTCACATTCTTTTACGTAATTAAGATCATTGAGGTACAAAATAAATAAAAGTGGCCCCAAAACATTTCCCTGGGGTACACCCGAGGATACAAGAATTTCGTTAGAAACTACATTGTTTATTTCAGTTTTTTGAAACCATGGATGCACCCTATCTGTGAAACTCTTTAAGTACGCATAAAGCAATACATTTAATTTAAATCAGTGAACTGTTAAACTTTGGTTAAACTGTTGGTAACAAGTAATTTCAATTTTAAATGTGAGTGAGGTTCTATGGGGACGTAACAATTTGTCATTTGGCAATAGTGCATTTCACAAACAGATTTGAGAAACTAGTCTATCCTTTATGTGTAAAATCCTTGATTACAGTGGCGTATGTCCCGTCTTCTTTTTTTGCAACATTAGATATAAAAATTTAAAAGTAAGGTTATATTTTTCACGTTTTAATTCAAGTTCGTTCGTTGTTCTAAAAATTTTGTAAATTAAAATATAAATGGAGTCTACCGAAGCAGAAAAAACACCGAATGAAAATTTTGAGGTATATTACCATTTTTTTTATAAAATAATCATATTTTACGCGAATTTTTCTTTAGATTACTTAATCTTAGATGGATAAATTAAATATAAAGACCTTTTATATTTGTAGACCTTTGACCAGCCTTTCGAAAGCAGCTCAGAAGGAGAATGGAACCCAACTGACTGTTCTGAAGATGAGTTTGAAACCGATATTACCACTTCGGTAATACATAAACGAAAAAGAAATAATAATTGTGTAACTCAACAGTTTAAATTTAATTGCACTGTAGAAAATTGTCAAGCTGTGTACCGAAAGAAGTGGTTACTAGAAGATCATATTAGGAAACATAATAAAGAGAGACCTTTTAAGTGTACCACTGAGGAATGTAACAAATCGTTTACTAAAGAGGCTCATTTAAAACGACATAAAATTTTAGTACATGAGAAATCTTGTGAACTAGTTTGTGATGTCAAGGGTTGTGGTTTGATTTACAACAACAAATATAGTTTAAAGAAACATAAAAACCAAATTCATAATGCTTTAAAGTGGCCATTCTTTTGCCATGAATGTTGCATAGGCTTTAAGAAAAAGTGGCAGCTTAATCAACATAATTATAAACATACTGGGGACCCTCCATTTAAGTAAGTTCTAAAAATACATATTTTCATCAATATAGCTATACATCCAGAGATAACTGGAAATGAGTTAAATCACGTCAAGTGGACCCCCCATTTTCCACTTGATCATCGAATTCAGGTATCAGTATTTTTTCATAAAGTATTCACTGTAAACAATTAATCCCCAGAACAGTTTTTAATAATTTTCATTTTAACAACAATTTTTGTATTATTGAAAATTTTTATGACTTTTAGTTAAAAAATCGATAATTAAAAAACTATTAGAGATATTTTAATTAAACTTTTAGGATTTATAGGTCAATACTTGTATTTTGATAAAATGTGCAAGAGTTTAAATTATTTATTTATTTTCATATTGTTAATTAACTTTTAAGTTAACAAATGAAAATTTTAATGACTTCTCCCTCAAAAAACGAAATTTTTATTTTTCGGTATTATGCACTAAACATTCAAGTAACAGAATCCGCAAAAAAATTTGACTGCTCGCGATTAGATTAAACAAAAAAAAAAATATTAATGACGGGCGCCGAGCACTGTCGTTACAGCGCGCTATCACGCGTCATTGACTTACCTTTAGATCGACTCAGTAATTATAAATAAGAAACAATTCTTTATTTTTTTAATAAAAATAATGTTATTTAATAAATGATTTTATTGAAACAAATTACAAAAATTTAATGAATAAAATATTTTTTTATAGAAAAACAAACAAAAATATTAAAAATTTATCAGTGTTCTATTATTGTATTTTTCGGATTGTTTTTAAAGAATTCCACTATTTATAATTATTTTAGGTCTTAAACAATATTGTCAATTATTGAAAATGAATGTAAACTTTACTAGTTACCCAGCTTTAATCCCTTTTTAGATAAAAAAAAGTGTGTTTAGTTATTTTCATTTGTTATTTTTATATATATATATATATATATATATATATATATATACACATAATAATTCCCAATAAAATCTTTAAAAGCATGAGCGCGTTTTTTTTTCAATTAAAACTAGATTTTTAATAATTTTTTTGTTTTTTTTTATTATTAAATGGATTACAGCATTTATTCACGCGGCCCATGATAGATCATAAACAAAATTATAAACACCAATAAAATTTGAAATAAACCAATTAGATTTAGATCAATGGAAACTGTTAAGCACAAATTTATTAAATAAAAATTCTTATCTTTAAAATTTATTCACTGGTGTTTATAAACGGATTTAACAAGTGAACTCAAATGGCTTGTGATATTCTTTTGTTATTCATGTGTATTCATATATAAAAATTACAAATGAAGAAAATAACTGAACGTATTTTTTTTTAAATCTAAAAATGGATTAAAGCTGGGTAACTAAAGTTTACATTAATTTTCAATAATTGACAATATTGTTCAAGACCTAAAATAATTATAAATAGTGGAATTCCTAAAACACAATCCGAAAAATACCATAACAGAACACTGATAAATTTTTAATATTTTTGTTTGTTTTTCTGTAAAAAATTATGTTATTCATTAAATTTTTGTAATTTGTTTCATTAAAATCATTTATTAAATAACATTATTTTTATTAAAAAAAAAATAAAGAATTGTTTCTTATTTATAATTACTGAGTCGATCTAAAGTCAATGACGCGTGGTAGCGAGCTGTACCGACAGGGCTCGGCGCCCGTCATTAATAATTTTCGGGCAGTCAAATTTTTTTGCGGATTCTGTTACTTGAATATTTAATGCATAATACCGAAAAAAAAAATCGTTTTTTGAGGGAGAAGTCATTAAAATTTTCATTTGTTAACTTAAAAGTTAATTAACAATATGAAAATAAATAAATAATTTAAACTCTTGCGCATTTTATCAAAATACAAGTATTGACCTATAAATCCTAAAAGTTTCTTTAGAATATCTCCAATAGTTTTTTAATTATCAATTTTTTAACTAAAAGTCATAAAAATTTTCATTAATACAAAAATTGTTGTTAAAATGAAAATTATTAAAAACTGTTTTGGGGATTAACTGTTTATAGGGAATACTTCATGAAAAAATACTGATACTTGCATTTGATGATCAAGTGGAAAATGGGGGGTCCACTTGACGTGATTTAACTCAAATATAATCATTCATTGATAAAATATAATATTCATAATGCCAAGATTAATTTTACAATCAATACGCTCCACTTGTAAGTCCGCGGCGAGGAAACAAAAAATGAGAGGTAAGAGAGGGGATAAAGAGAAGGGTTTTATGGCGATACAATTTTTTTTTTATTAATGAATAAAGGTGTAAGGGCTGTGTGCTTATAATAAACATCATATATATCCATGCCGATGTAAGCCCTGTTGCCACTTCCAACCCAACATTACTAGGTTTTGGAATTTATTGAAAATTATTACAACAAATCTAGTGAAATTACATCTAAATTAGGTAATCTTGTAGTTGAAGGGTCTAAAAATGCACATGTCTGCACTATTCCTGTTCTGGCTAGTTCTGACAATTAGAATCGTTACATAGTTGCCAGGTTATATTTAATTTTTTGGAACCAGGGAATAAGCAGATTGAAATGACTATTTACCAATTTTTACATCAATTAAAATCTCAAAAATAAAAAAAAATGTTCTGAAGATTTTCAAGTAATACGATCGTTATTTTAAATGTCAATAATACATACCTTTCAATAGTGATAATTACAAAATTCAAATTTAAAAACTATCAAAATTAACTTATAAAACAAAACATTATTTAAAAGTTCATTGTGGGGCACAATGAAAATCGGAGCCGCTCAAGCTCTGTCACCTATTTTATTTCAAGTTTCTACAAGACTTAAACAACACACCAATATTATGACACTTAAAAAAATAAACAGCACACAATGAAGATAATATAATAAGAATATTAATAAAAACAAAAATAGCCTAAAGGCGGTATGTCACGATACTAAATTAAGCACTAAATTTAGCACTAAATTAAGCTCGAAATTAAGTTATTAATTTAGTACTAAATTTAGAACTAAAATTTATTTTTTCCGTTTGCAACGATTCCAATTTTTAGTACTAAATTAAGTATAGGCGCATGTGCATTGTCGTATTAATACGTGAAATTAGCACAGGAATGAAATATTCTGAGTAAAATTAATTTATTTATTTTATAAAATATAAAAATAGTTACATAATTATGTTACAACCAATTAATATTATCTTAAGTTATATACCTTTTCTTGGAGATACCTAGATGCATCTGTATGAATCTCAACGATTCGTACATTTATTTATATGTAATTTTAAAATTCAAGACTCTTAAAGCCCTATTACAATGTTTTAAATTATTTCTATGTACAGAAGACTATAGCGTTCTTTACTTTATTTAAATAATTCTTTAAACAAGTTATAGTTAAAGATATATGTATTACATTCTTTTGAAAACAATTTGTTTTCTGATATTCTGTTTATTTTGCCTGGTAGCATATTATAAATTTTCGGTGCTAAATAATTAAAAAAATTTAGGTTAATGTTTCTGTGACTCACCGGAATACTATTTTTTTATTTACTTTATTTCTTGTGTGATATTGATGATTTACAATGTTTTGTAGGGAAATTCGAGTATGTATGTATGTAACTGCATATTGTTGACATGTAGATGGTTCTGATATTGCAAGCAAGTATCATTTGCTAACAGCAATTCTGTTGGATACATTTTATTCTTACCATAGATGATTTTTAGTATTTTCTTTTGTATTATATTTCATTTGTATAATGCATTATCATATGAATCTCTCCAAACCAAAATTCCATATCTTATTAATGATTTATATATATGACTAAATTTTTTTTATTTAAAACATATTTTAAACAATAAAATCTGTAAATTAGTTTGCGAATTTTATTAGAAATATAATTTATGTGTTCATGCCACCTCATGTACTGATCTACAATAACCCCCAAATACTTTATTTTTGAGACTTCATTAATTTTTTCAGTTTCAAGTATAATGAAAGAGTATTGTGGGCGTGTTGATACTGTTAACGAAAAAGCTATATACTTAGTTTTTTTAAGTTCAAAGAGAGTTTGTTTGTATTTAGCTAATTTTTTACTCTAGCTAAGCCCGTTATCATTTTGTTTTTAACATCATTCCAGTCTACTCCATCAAAAACTAAGACGGTATCGTCAGCAAAGGAAATTATTGTTCCCGCAATATCCACTCCCAGGAGTGAATTTAGGTACACGACAAACAAAATTGGTCCTAAGACCCTTCCCTTAGGTACTCCAATCCCTATTTCGTGTCTTTCACTGTGTGCGCCATTTATTTTAACAAGTTGATATCTGTTTTTTTAGACAAGTGAAGTAAAAGGTGTTTTTATAATGAATTTGACACTAGTTGACTTGACAACAACTAAATACCGCAATGCAACTAAAAACCACGAAAAAAACAATAAAACCTACAAAATCAAACGAGCGAAATTTATCGGAGGCGTTAATGCAAAATTGTCCCTAAAAAAAAAAAAAATGGTACAGAAAAGACCGTTGTGTCAACTTTTTCTGTGAAAAACTTCTGTGCAATATTTCGACACACTTTTAGTACTAAATTTAGTAGAACATTTGCTGTTTCCAACGTGAATTTTTTTAGTACTTAAAAAATGCATTACTTTAGTACTTAATTTAGTATTGTGACATACAGCCTTATGAAAATAGAAAATACAGGACAATAACAAACCGCTACTTCACAAAGCACGCCAAAATTAAAATGGAGATTTGGTAACGTGGCATGTGTCAAATTCAAATTCTAGACATCAGTGTAGAGTGGTGTGAAAATGGGCATTTCTAGACCCGTCAACTACAAGATTACCCTAATTTAGTAAAATTTCATACCTATAACTAATGATTCAAATTTTTTTGGGTTCAGTTGCAATAAAATAGCTCGAGTTATTATAGCTTTTTTAATATATATAAATAATTTTGTAAACAAAATGAGAATAATGAAATAGGCATAAGACAACAGCGGATATTATACCCTTCTACCCTTATACTTATACCCTTAGAATGTCTTATTCAGCAGGATATTTGTTAGTAGTTACATCTCCTCTTCTCTGTACACATTAGTGTTACAAGGGTTGCAATGAAAATTTGCTTATTGCACTTAATTACTTCTGATTTATTTATTGATTTTTAAGACAAAAAAGGTGTTTTATAAATTATACCACTTATTAAGCTATTGCATAGCTTTTATCGCGGGCTTTGAGCGAGGAGACCGAATCAAGAAATTCCGTAACACCATAACGAAAAAAAAAAAACCTAACACCCCCCACTCCGACCGGCACAGCGGTGCGGCGTTAAACAATATTAACTTCTCATTTATTCAATAAAAGAAAATCGAAAAATTGAAAAATCGAAAAATCAAAAAACTGAAAAATTGAAAAATCGAAGAAAAATCGAAATACCGAAAAATCGAAAAATCGAAAAATCAAAAAATCGAAAAACCGAAGTATCGCAAAACCGAAATATCGAAAAATCGCAAAATCGAATAATTGAAAAATCGAAAAATCAAAAAATTGAAAAAGAAATTCCGTAACGAAAATAAACCTAACACCCCCCCACTCCGACTGGCACGGCGGTGCGGCGTTGAAAGCCGTGCATCGTCTAACGTCGTTTCAGTTCGACAGACTTCGGCACGGTGTTTGTGTGCGTGCGACTAGATGTATGTGTGTAGATTAGCTGCTAACTGCTCATAACTGATTCTATGTCTTTTAGACACAATTTCGGAAAAATTGAATTTGAAAATGAATAATGATCCACAAGAATCCACAACAAAATATGGGACCACCATTGACGCGGTATTTTCCAGATATTTAGAGGATATCAAGTCTCAAACTTATGTTTCTTATTTCAGTTACTATAAACCTATAGTTTCAATGATAAAAAAAATTCCTGAATAACCTACATGTATTGTAAAATAATAAAAATATTTTAAACAATATTAACTTCTCATTTATTCAATAAAAGAAAAAAATTTGTTTTCTTATCGGTCACCACGCTCAAAAAGTGTAACATGAATTAAGAAAAAACTTGAATTAATATCAAAGAAAAAAAATTCTACATAAATAAAATAAATAAATAATTATAATTATTAGTTGATAAAAAATGCGATGCAATAGCTTTACCGCGGCAGTCCCCGAGTGCCACACGTATTTTTTATGTTTTTTGATTATTATTTAGATTATTTATTTATCTTTATATTTCGTTACTAATCGATATAAAATTTTTATTTCAGCATTAATTTTTTTCTAAGTTATAATCACAAAATCACATTATTTATTGGTTGTAATTTAATCAATGTATTTGCCATAATGTTATATTAAGTACTTTTATTATGCTTTTTTGAAGAAACCTTGTTTGTACATTTAATATTTTTAAATTTATCAAAAGTAATAAGTATATTTGTTATAATTGGATAACTCACAGAATGATTCAAAGGCCCCTTTAATAACCAATTATTTTAGGTGTACTTTATGCAATATTGGGTTTACACTTCAAAGAGATCTAACAAAACATAACAGAAACCATAAAACCTATACTTGTGACTGTGGTCAAATATTTGAAAGATGGTCCCACTTAAATCTCCATAATAAGAAATGCTCTATTAAAAAAGGTAAATAATGCAGGATTGGAAATGTTAATGCACTCAAAGACTAGAACGTTTAAATGAACAAAATTATTTAAATTTAATTCGTTTATCATAAATAAGTGAAAACTGTCATAAAATTAAAGAAGAAAAAATTCTTTATTGAGGTATTGACCGGAGTCTTTTGGCTCGTATTAACAATCATAGTTACATAATTAATTGATATAGGACTACCATTCAGTCTTAAATTATTTATTGATAATAAACTATATTGTTTCATAACAAACTTAAATTTAAAAACCTATGTATAAAACTTGTTTTGCAATCCTCCAAATAGACAAAGTATTCTAGAATAACCCTTAAAATTACATATTTTCCTACTACTGTCTGAATGGAATTTGAGTTTTTTAAGTTTTCTATATTGTCTGGAATTCTAACAGAATGATTGTATAAGATGAATCCTTGATAATAGGAAGAGTTCTGGCCCATTGCTAATCTTGAGAAGGGTGAACGAAGTTCACCACCTTTTCTAGTATGTTTATTTATTTATTCAAATAGGTACACTACAGAATTATTATTCTAAATGGTACACAGAGTAAAAAAATAATTAATACATATATGTAGAATACCTACACAAAAATATCACATTCACAAAATCACATACATAGTAAGAGGTGTAAATATTAAAGATAAAAAAAAACAGGAAAAAAAAATTATTTTGACAGTTTAAAATTACTCTTTAGCGCATACAACGTTGTGTTAAGGTCACAGTTGGAGTAAAGCTTATTGTAAATGTGGCACATACGGTCAATAAATGCTCTTTGTCCATAGTTGGTTCTATGTCTTCTGATGAAAAACAATGAAGTATGACGTGTACGACGAGTAGGTGCCAAAAAGCTAATTAAGTGTAAAAGGGCGCTACAGTCAATCTTACCGTAAATAATTTAAACAGAAACAGAACTAGTGCATGTCTTCTTCTGATTTCTAGGCTTTGCATACCACATAACAGCAGTCTACTTTCGTAACCAACGTTTTGGTAGGGAAAGTGGTGTTTAAACAGCAAATAGTGAATTTACGCTGAACTCGTTCTATCCTCTCTATGTGGCAGGTGTAATTAGGATGCCATACGACAGAGCAATATTCAAGAATGCTTCTAATAAGGCTGTTAAATAATGTTAAGATTGCTTTAGTGTCATACATATGTTGAGTATTTCTTTTAATAAAGCCTAGCATCCGGAAAACTTTACAGATAATGGAGTCAATGTGTTCTCGAAAGGACAGTTCCATATCAAATATCACCCCTAGATCATTCACAGATGTGACATTTTGCAGTACAGTATTACCGATTTTGTATTGATTTAGAGAAAGGGTGAACTGGATGGTTTTGCATTTACTGGTATTTAGTGAGAGATGGTTCACCTTGCACCACTCGTTTAGTCTCTCTAGATGAGAGGAGTGTATTGTTACGTTTGTTTATTTATTTATAGTTTATTTATTTAAACACTTTATATAATACTTAGACACTATTATAACTCACAATTCTAATTTATTTATTACAATTTGTCTTTTCTATCCAACACTTAAATTGAATCTTTTCTTCTATCGACAACATCGCTGTTATTTATATAAAAAATGTAATGATCTCGAAAGAACCAACCCTGACTAGAAGCTCAGTTTGAAATTTCTAGAAATTATCCTACACGCGTAAGACTGCGATGGAAACATTCGAATCGGTTTCTCGAGTTTCGAGATGGGCCTCGGTGTGGCCAGCGCTAGACTTCCTGTAGCTTGTACGGTAATAAAAAAAGAACAGGGTTGGCTTCGCGTCACAGTATCATGTTATTGGTGGTTTGATTTGAAAGATTTTTTTATATGTATAAATAGATGTACAGGCTTGGAACAGTTGGTATTGAAAGTTTAATAAAATGTTTACAATGTTCTGAAGGATGGGCACCTACCAGACACCTAACAATTCTCTTTTGCAAGATAAAGACTTTGTTCATATGTGCAGAATTCCCCCAAAAAGATTAAACCATATGAAAGAGCAGAATGAACGAGTCCGTAATAGGTCACAGTTGGCTTAAGTTGTCTGATGACAAAACAGATGCTACATAATTTGGATGCAAGATTATCCATCTGCCGTTCCTATGTGAGCTTTTGATTGTTAGACTAAGTAACTTGACGTCACTTATCTGGTATAGGTATAAACTCTTAATTTTTATTAACTGACTCTCATTGAGGCTTGAATTATTTGGTTGGAATAGCATAAATAAATTATAAGAACATTTAGTGTGATTTCTTCTTCCAGCGAGATTATAGGTTGGCTAATTTAATGAAGTATGGAAACTATGAACTCAGTGATCCTGAAAAAATTGCAAACGCCTTCGCATCTCCAAACGTGCTACTCTAAAGATGACATAAACCGAAAAATGTATCTTCCCGTTGTGCCATTTTATTCCACTTTAGCCACCCACATTTTCACTCCTTGTGAATTATCTTCTAAAATAAAAATTGCGGGCCCTGTCGTGGTAACACCGTTGTTCAGACATTTCCATGTGGACAGTAGTAGGAAAATACGTAATTTTCAGGGTTCTTTTGGGGGTTGCGAAATGAAATTTGTACACAAGTTTTTAAATTATAAATTTAAGTACCTTATAAAAACAATAGATTTTATTATCAATAAATAGTTTTAAGACATTTTTCACTCATTTATTATAACCGAATTAAATTTAAATAATTAGTTCATTTGAATGTCCTTTTCTTCATAAATGTTACAGCATTAATATACCAGTATCTATTTATTTTTTTCAGATCTTAGCTGTAAGATATGTGATAAAAAATTCAGTAAAAAAGAGAATTTAAATGCTCACCATGCATCTCTCCATCAAGAATCTAAAGAACCTGAACTTTTTCATTGTCCTTATTTGAATTGTACAAGAAGTTACAAGTACAAGAAAAATGTAAATTTTCATGTTTCATTTTTCCACGAGAAAAGTAATCAAAAGGAAATTCCTTGTCCAACATGTGGAAAAATATTTCATATGCAGGTAATAATGATAATAACTATGTAGATAAGATAATGCTAGGGGAAAAAATAAAGTGTAAATGGCACGAATGGCTATAGTCTAAAGGTTCCAGGTTTGATCCCAGCTCTCTCATTTTTTTTTTCTTAATTCTCAGCTTTTTTAATTTTTCTTTTGTTTTTCTTTTTTCACTTTGAGGATATTGGGGTATATTTTTAATAATTTCGTAGGGGGAATTGGGGATTATTCATTTTCATATTTCCAAAATTGTATTTCAGTTTTTCCGATCTCAACCGCTTTTTTCTCACTTAATTTTTCTTTCATTTCACGTTTACGGCGGACCGTACTCGAAAACTTATCACTCATATTTTCAAAATTGCATTTATTTTGTATGTCTTTAATTATAACACAGATTACCCAGATGCGAAAGTTGACAAAAAAACATCAAAATTAAGAGAAATATAAATGGCCATACCCATTTAAAGATCCCTCGTAGCAACTCGTTTCCACCCGCGCAGTTCCGAAGGCAAAAGTTATTTCATTATGCGAAATTGCCGATGCTCCTAGGTTTTCTGATGTCATGTGACATTGGAATGACTTTAAGTCAAATGAAAACGTACATACATTTTTTAGTTAACACAGACGTTATTTGTATAACGCATAATTAAATCCGCTAAACATAAAATAATACAAAACCATTTAAAGGTTTATAGTTTACATTTATTAATGTTAATCAATGACACTTTAAAAAACGCGTGAAATTTTAATTTTTTTATGTGACAACCTTGCTTAGAATGCTGTAAGTGAGATGACATTCAGGACAGTCAGGACCGGTCGCGACGCTTTGCGTTGTGTGCATTTTTGGACAAAAATATTGTGTATTTGTGTCTAGTCTTCTTCTGTATATAAATCATGAGTGAAACGAAGAATATAAGTCGTGGTGGCATCTAGGGCACGTATAAAATGTCTTCGAATTCATATCTGTAAATATATGAACACTTTTCTACTGCAACTTTCCGTTTTAGATAGCAGCAATATTTTTATTCATTTGAAAGCTTATGATATCAAATCATTATATGGAAGTCTAAAAACACCAACCGAATGTTTTTATCAGTACATTTATCAGTTGGATTATTTATTTTTTGAAAAATATAGAAAATTACTTGTCCCACACTTGGAAATAATTCGTATAATTTGTTTAATACAGTTCAAGGTTTTTAACACCCTTGGTAATATTTTTCTAATGACTACTTCTTAAAGTTATTTATTCTTTTTCAAATATTTTACCTATTAAAATTCAGCAACATATATTTCAGAAATCAGCAAAAAAATAGAAAGGTATGTATTTGAAGTAATGAGTGCTTTAGATCTGAATGAATATTCATGAATAAATGTTCTGTTTTGCATTTTCATCCAATTATACTTTACAGTTCAGAAGTACCAAGCTACCAAACTATTTATTCAATATTTGTTTTATCAGGTTTATGGCTACAGGCGATAGAATTGTAATGTCCTGCTAATATGCTGTATGCAATAAGTATTTAAACCTCAATTATTTAGAAAAGTTGTTAGTGATGAGTTTATATTGTATCCCAACAAACAATGAATTGCCATGATATTGCTGGCCTTTTGCTGTAATTGAAGCAAAAATGAATGCGAGGATTTAAAAATAAATAAAAACTTTAGTTCTTTTGATAGTGGCCCAGCATTAGGTTGGCTGATGATTGGGTAAGAGCGAGGTAAAAGTTAAAAGGCTTTTAATTGCCGCAGACCCAACCCTCCAACAGTCTAGGAGGGTTCGGTCCTACGTTCATGGATGGAGCCACCGATGATCACTTGCTACATACTCAACGAGTGTACATGAGGCCAGTTTCGGATTGCTGGTATTCACTATTTATTGTAATTTCTTACTCATACATGTTATTAATTTGGAATATTTTATGAATATACATTTTGTAAAAAGACATTTTATCTCTATTATATATTATATAGTTGAATTAAATAAAATGTCTACAATATTCTAGGTATATTGGAATGCATTCGGTTTTATATTTATACTTCAAACAGTACTGCTGGTCAAAGAGGCACTATCGGATTGTACCTGGCATATGGCCTTTATTCAGCAGTCAGTATTATTATGTTAAAAGGCCTGTAATTTCCCATCAATAGGCCATTAATTACCAATATATTTATTTCAACACATTAAAGGGAAAATGGAAGCCTTTAACTGGATTTGATGGCTAATAAAGCCCGCTTGACAAATTTTTAAAACCTTTACATTATAATTCGTTGCTTGTTATAACTGTTTACATATAATAAAATTTTGAAAGTATTAATACAAATCATATTCTTTTTCTTTTAAAATGTTTAAAAATGAAACCCCTATCAACAACATTTTCAACAAACTCGTGCTGCTACTATACATTAAACCATTAATTACCTAAATCAACCCTGGCATCCAAAACGCATGTTTAGAAGAAAGTCATATTTAATAAGACTGATTGAAAATAATTAAAATTGGCAACACCTATGCCATACCCATTTAAAGTCCAAGGACATAGAAATCTCATTTCAAAATCCTTTGATCTTTTGCCGAGTTTCGCATTTGTTGTGGTTAATCTGTGATTATAATATATATTGTAGTTCATAATCATTTGTTTTGTCACTAAATCCAGGGTTTAATCCATTAACACTTCGCCGTAAATTCAAATTTTCCTTAGGCGGCCGGTATTCCCCCCTTTATCCTACTCTTTAATTGTGATGTATTTCCAGACCTTATTAATTGTCACACAGGCCAAATCCACCGAATAACTATATGCTGTTTAGCGATTTTATCTATAAAAGTTTTATTTTCGATTCTCTAATATTACCTTCTTTTTGATATTAAATTATTATAAAAAAATTCGATATAAAAATGTGTTTAACAGTGCTGTATTTGCAGGTCTACCTAAAACGTCACATTGAAAAAATGCACAAGCTTCCAAAGATTGCTAAACTTCGTGCTACAAGAAAAGATAAGAATAAATCACGAACTTGTACAGCAGCAGTTTTAGCAGGGCTTAAATTGTCTCAAAAAGGACATATAGAACTTTTAAAGAATCACAAAAAACTTATTATAAAAATACCAAGAATAGACTTAAGTGAATTTGAAACTAAATTAAACAAATCCAGTGATGATTTGGAACAAAGAGACAGTTCTGAATTAATAAAAGATTTAGCTTTAATAGAACAAACTAATAATATAGAAGATATTGTAACATCAAATTTTGAAAAAACAGATAAAAGTATTATGATAGAAGATAATAATACAAATTGTAATAAACTAAAAGATTTAGAACATAATACACAACTGAAAAATTTAAATGATATAAATAATCAAAGAGAAGAATCTGATAATGGGGTTATAGAAAATGTAATACAGACATGCCATAAAATGAAAAACATATCCAGAAAAGATGTAACAGAAATTGAAAATAAAGTAAATAAATCTAATGATGTGAAACAAACCGACATAAATAAATTAAAAGAAGTAGATTTAATAGAACAAACTAATAATACAGATATTGTACTATTAAATTTATGGAAGAAAACCGGAACGTTGTCAGACGATAAAAGTATTACAATACAAGATAATAGTACAAATTCTGATTCAATAATAGATTTAGAACAGAATATACAAACGATACCAGAAAATAGTGTAAATTCTGATACAATAATTGATTTAGAACAAATTATAAAACCAAACAATGTATATTTTATGATAAATAATGAAGGGTTAAAAGAATCTATTAACAGGGTTCTAGAAAATGAAATACAAACAATAGGATATGAAAGGGGAACAAACATATCCAGAAAAGACGTAACAGAAATTGAAAATAAAATAAACAAATCTAATGATGTGAAACAAACTGATACAAACAAATTAAAAGAAATAGTTTTAATAGAACAAACGAATAAGACAAGAGACATTGTACTATTAAATTTGAAAAATACAACGAGTATGTCGTCAGAAGATAAAAGTATTGCAATACATGATAATAGTATAAATTCTGATTCAATAACAGTTTTAGAACATAATATTCAACTGAAAAATCTAACCGATAAGGTAAATAATCATAATGAAGTTCTAGAAAATGTAGAAAGAACAAAAGATCATCAAATAAGTACAAATATATCCAGAACAGATGTAACAGAAATTGAAAATAAAGTAAACAAATCTAATAATGTGGAAAAAACAGACACCGGTGAATTAAAAGAAATACCTTCAATGGAACAAACAAAGAAAGAAAATATTGTAATATTAAATTTGGGGAAAACAACAGAAACGTTACCAGAAATTAGTGAAAATTCTGATACAATAATTGATTTAGAACAGATTATAAAACCAAACAATGTAAATTTTATGATAAATAATAAAGGGTTAAAAGGATCTGTTAATAAGGTTCTAGAAAATGAAATACAAACTGGTTCTAATAAATTAAAAGAAGTAGTTTTAATAAAACAAATGAATAATACAAGCGATATTGTACTATTAAATTTGGAAAATATAATGGGAACATTGTCAGAAGATAAAAGTATTACAATACAAGATAATAGTATACATTCTGATTCAATAATAGATTTAGAACAGAATATACAACTGACAAATCTAACTGATAAGGTAAATAATCCAGTGTTAGAAGCATGTGATAATGAGATTCTGGAAAATGTAGTACAAACAACAGAAGGTCATCAAATAAGTAAAAATATATCCAGAATAGATGTAATGGAAATTGAAAATAAAGTAAACAAATCTAATAATGTCGAACAAACAGACACCAGTGAATTAAAAGAAATACCTTTAATAGAACAAACACAAGAAGAAAGTATTGTAATATTTCATTTGGGGATAACAGAAACGTTACCAGAAATCAGTGTACATTCTGACACAATAATTGATTTAGAACATATAAAACCAAACAATGTAAATTTTATGATAAATAATGAAAAGTTAGAAGGAACTGTTAATGGAGTAGAAAATGAAATACAAACAACAGGTAATGAAATAGGAACAAACATATCCAGAAAAGATGTAACAGAAATCGAAAATAAAATAAACAAATCTAATGATGTGAAACAAGCTGACACTAATAAATTAAAAGAAGTAGCTTTAATAGAACAAACTCATAAGATACAAGATATTGTAGTATTAAATTTGGGTAAAACAACAGGAACGTTGACAGAAGATAAAATTATAAATTCTGATGATACAATATTAGATTTAGAAAAAAATGTAAATGATATGACAAATAAAGAAATGATAGAAGCATCTGTTAATGGAATTATAGACAATGAAGAAAGACACAATACGAGTTTAAAAATATCTAGAAAAGATGTAACAGAAATTAAAAATAATAATGTGGAATTAAAAGAAATGTCGTTAAAAAAACAACATAATAAAAAAGATAGTCTATTGATGGAGGATTTAGATGAGTCTTATGAAAGTTCAGAAGAAGAATGGAATCCAACTGATCACTCGGAAGATGAATTTGACATGGATATTATCACTTCTGCAGTGCCAACAAAACGGGAAAACAATTATGCAACTCAAAAACTTAAATTTAGATGCCCTGTAGAAAATTGTGACGCTGCTTACAGAAAGAAGTGGTTACTAGAAGATCATATTAGAAAACATAATAAAGAGAGACCCTTTCATTGTACCATTGAAGATTGTAAAAAATCGTTTACTAAAGAGGCTCATTTAAAACGCCACAACATTTTGGTGCATGAAAAATCAGGAGAACTAGCTTGTGATGTCAAGGGTTGTGGTTTGATTTACAACAACAAATACAGTTTAAAGAAACATAAAAATCAAGTTCATAATGCTTTAAAGTGGCCATTCTTTTGCAATGAATGTTGCATAGGCTTTAAGAAAAAGTGGCAGCTTAATCAGCATAATTATAAACATACTGGGGAGCCTCCATTTAAGTAAGTTTAAAAAAATATATATTTTCATCAGCATCTTTACAAAAAACAATATCAGTGTTTTAAGAATTGCAATAGAAATGTGTGAATTTTATTTTGATTTAGATATTGATTTTTGATAAATGAAAGCATAAATGTTAATATTTTATATCCGACTGATGTTTTGTTCGACCAAATGACTTGCCAGAATATACAGGGTATCATATTGTGACGAAAGTCTAATTTATTTAAAGTTTATTTATTTAAAAACACACTATTTACAATTTATTTCAGACGTACTATTTAATTTATATAATATTTGAACACTAACAATTCTAATTTATTTCTTACACTTTTACTTTTCAATACAACGTTCTATATTAAACTAAACTCGGCGCAGATACGTCCTCTATTTATATTAGTCTAACTCCGCTACTGGAAAATGCTAGAGACTTCGCGAAGATGACTAAACGGTAGTCCCCGCCATTCCAGATGTTTCGAGTGAATCAGCGGCAGATATTCGAGAGCGGTCCGGCTGTTTCCACACGTCAGCGTTGCTTCGGTCACGAGTTGATTGCGTGCGTATACAGGGTCGGATCGTATTAGGAATATCATGACAATATTAAAGATGGGACATAGAACTAAAGATTTTCTGAATCAAAATGAAACTAAATGAAGAGTGGAAATTCCAAACGTTCTAGGTGCCTTTTGCAATTTTTTTCAGGAAATCAATAAAACTGCAAATCAAATGTTAATTCAAAAACTATTAAAATTTGTGTTTTTTTTTGTAATATATTCGTTCGTAACATGTGTAATACAAAACTAAAAACAAACTCCTTAGCAAAAAAAATAGTTATGTAAATTTTGAGGAAATTATTATTTAGAACGTTTGGAATTTACACTCTTCAAATATGTTTAGGTAAAATGTTACTCGTTTCAGAAATATTGGGTGTTAAACTTGAAAATTGAAAAATTGATTAGTGCTATAATTTTTACTAAAACGTTTTTGATGCCGTAACAGCAAAAAAATCAGTAAATTAAACTTTGCCAGTGACGTACAGCAATTTCTAAATAAAAGCACAAGTATCCACTTTTAAGTGCAAATATCTAAAACCAATCACTTTATAAATTAATAGAGGATTCGCTTAAAAAAAACGAACAAATGTAAGACAAAATTATTGATTGGACAGTGGCGTAACATTTAGAAGGGAAAAAATCTTACTTACCCATGCCGTACGCCGATTTTGTCATTATTATTGCATGTACAAAAAAAAGGTTTTTAAATAAAAATTGTATGTCTGAATTTTGATAAAATGCCACCAAAAACAGAGTGCATATTTCACGAAATACAACTACATAAAATAAATTGGAGATACAATTATAAAATTGTTGGAATATTATTTTTTGTGATTTCAAAAATATATCATGTTTCCCTATCTTATACCATTTTCGAGTAATTAAATGTCGAATATCTTGGCTAAGCTAGTTGTAAATATGGAAAAGTTAACATTTTTAAAGTACGCTATGAAAATGACAACTATTATGTTTGATAAGTGACATTTCTTTCAATAGGCATTCCTGCGACCTTTCCAAATGGCTGCTGGATGGCTTTCACAGGGTCAATTATATGTACGGAAAGTTAAACGAGGACCCTCTGCTTTACATTGAATTAGACAAGATATAATATGACCAGACGTGAAACGAACAAAGATAACTGAGCAAAGCATTACCTATTCTGTGGCCTCGCACCACATACTTTGATTACTATACGGGGCAAGAGAGAGATCCGACACGCCCAACATAAGGCGCGGCCATTTTGAACCCTATGACACAGTTTATAGCTAAAGAATCAGATCGCTCACTCTGCGTCGGCACTTTTTATCTCAATGTTCCAGTTTATACACTGCGCAACTCAGATAATACAATATATGACAACCCCCTATAATAAAACAGCAGTCTTCTGCTTATCCTGAATTTGTATCCCTGGAGTGGATGTTATTTTGGAACTTTCACCTGGTCCGAGTGAGCTAACTGATTCTTTAGCAATAAACTGTGACTCCAAAAATAATATTCACTGACAGCAGCAAGCAAAATATCAGGTGCGTTTTAATCATCCGCTCCTGCTTCCGGAATTGTCGGTTCAGTCGTTCTAACCTGTCAGATTAAAACAAGAAAACCGACATTTCCGAAGCAGAAGCGGCTGATTAAAACGCACCTATTAAAAATATTGCGCCAAGATGTAGGCAACACGTAATAAGGGTTCAAAATGGCGGAGTTTTCTATCTCCTTTTAAAAGGCACTCAGAAAGCTGCGCAGTGCGACCATTCTCCGTATAGTAAAAGAAAATCAAAGTATGTGCCTCGCACACAGTACATGCGATTTCCTTACCCTGATTTGGCTTGAATAGTCCATGTTTCAATTTCCTAATCTGTATATAGTTATATAGATTGCACAAAGAGGGTGGCATTGCGAGCGGCCATATTGAGAATACTCATTAATCAGAATCGATTTAGCAAAAATGAGTTTTAAAACCAAATTTCACTTTAAATATAAATAAAAAAAATAATTACCTACATTTTTATTTCAAGGAACAAGCCCTATGTTAGGTATTTTGAAAAACATGATCAGTCTAAATAATTATGTCAGTGACCCTGTCAAAGCCCTTAAGACAGCCATTTTGTTTGGAAGTAAAGTATGAATCTCAGAGTAAGTAAGTAGTAAAGAGAGGACAGTAAACAATGTTTGTGTCGCCATGATAATATAGTCGAGAATTCTAATTAGAGAGAAATAGATTAATATCTCTATCTCTTTGTTTGTATTTGTCAGTTTTACAAAGCTTTTCTCAGACAATTATTCCAGTGTTTAATTTAAATTTGTTCGTGTTGTGGTGTTAAAAGTAATTGTTATTAATATTATATTCATAACAAAAAAGTCATATTTTGTTTTCACTTCATTATTTTATATTCTACTTCGTCAACATTTTCGCATTTAAAATGACCCAGCGAAATTGTTTTACGGTTCGCTACTGCTGAGAATTTAAAAACGAGTGAGAAAGCCTTCATTAGAAAGAGAGATTCTGATTATATGATAGCGACATTAAGATTGTATATCTTTATGCAGTGGTGGCCTATCTGCTATTATATTATCTAAGGTATGAATATTTTGCCATTCAGTTTGTTTTTTAAATCCAGGGTGGCTATGAAAATTTGACTCATTTCATTGTGTATTAGGTATATCTTATATATCTAAGAGGTTGCGACTTAGACACAGAAAGTTGATCAAGGCGTCACTGAGATAGTATTCAGCTTCAGCTGGCAACACCATAAAAATTTCATTTTTAAAAAACCGCCTATACATTTTATTAAATTTGCAGACTAAGATGGAAGGCTATGTCTCAACTCCCTTAGATATACCAGCAGCTATTGTTTGAATTCCTAATAATATTAATATTTTTTCTAGGTTATATGCTTTGACATGTTATTTTTATCATTTAAGATACCATTTGGGAACGCGCGACAAACGACAGGAGACCGAGACACCAGTGAGGTGGCAAATATTGCCATACTAAATCTGATGTCGTCGGTCGCGTCTACCGAAATGTGTTTCATATAAATTACACGTGACGTGAGTAGACCGTTTTTGGTCTCCCTCGCGGTTTGAAGTCTGTCTCGGCTTGCGAAATGGTAGCTTTAAAGCAACGTTGTCAAGTTGTTTTATATGAAAATACTAGAAATTTATAGTCATTCCTGAAAAGAGGTGGTTTTTTTCTCTTCGCTGGTTCACTGTGACTATTTTTGCGGGTTTACCTCATGATTCATGAAGTCTAGAAGTTCTCTGAATCTCGTAGAAGGTTCAAAATAATTTGCCTATCTCCAGAATATAGAGTTCACAAAATTATTTATTTAATTTTTTGTAGATTGTTGTACAGTGTGTTTACAAAGTTTTTTAAAGGTATCTTTGCCTCAGAAAATATTTGCACACTATGGCAATCTCTTAATTCATGTCGAAGTGAGCTAGTTCAAAGATGATAATGGAATGAATGTTTTAAAAAGATTTTTTAGCTTCTAATTTTGAGGACGGTGACGTACCTTGTTGTCGCGTACCGTCTGGGAATGGACAAATGACTGTTTCGTGGCGTTATATCGTGTGGTGTAACTTTCTGCTGGCAGCGAATACTTGGCGACAAGAAGCTGGGGGTACTAAACTGAATGTGCGCTTCTTGTCTGCAATTCTGCACAGTGCTATATCTAGTTATTTTGTTGCGATTAAAAATAAGTTGTTTTTAACAAATCATCTAATGTCATTAGATTAGCTGCAAAGATCAACTTACTGATAATTTAAATATGACGTTATCCCTATAAATGATTATTTGTTGCGACGTGGCAACGATACATTTTTTTCGTTGAGCTATTTAAAAACAATGCCAGTATTTTTGGTGGTATCCTGTGAAATCTGCGCCACGGTATTTTTGGTAGCATTTCAACAAAATTCAATCAAAGCCACACAACTTTTATTTAAAACCTTTTTTTGTATGTTAAAGGTTGGGTAATTTATCATGAATAACGTTGTACACTGTCGTCGACCTCAGCTTATTCTTATAACACACCCTTGATATCTTACTATAGACGATTCAAGCTAAGCTATACGTCCTCTGTAGGATATATTTGTAAATGTCAAGCGCTGGAAAAATTAATTTGAATGGCCTATAACTTTAATGTTAATTTCCAACAGTATTAATTTTTATTAAACTTGTAATCAAAAATAAATTATTTCTGTTATGCTTATGTTTACAAAGGTCCATTTTATTACTGCATTTGCTGTTTTACAATTGAGTCCCTTGCACATAATTTTCAATATGCTTTCAACATTTTTTTATTAATTATTTTAGGTGTCCTATGTGCAATATTGGTTTTACAGTTCAAAGAGATCTAACAAAACATAATAGAAATCATAAAACGTATTCCTGCGACTGTGGTGAAATATTTGAGAGGTGGTCCCATTTAAATCACCATAAAAAGAAATGTTCTGCAAAAAAAGGTAAATGTTAAAGGATTGAAAATGTTACAGGATTAATATAACAGTATTTCTTTTTTTTTTTTAGATAATATCTGTAAGATATGTGATAAAAAATTTAGCAAAAAAGAAAATTTAACTGCTCACCATGCATCTATCCATCAAGAATCTAAAGAACTTGAACTTTTTCATTGTCCTTATTTGAATTGTACAAGGAGTTACAAGTACAAGAAAAATGTGAATTTTCATATATCATCTTTCCATGAGAAAAATAACCGAGAAGAAATTCCCTGCCCAACATGTGGAAAAATATTTCAAATGCCGGTAATTTTTTATTATTTTTATTCTTATGTGCGTGTTTGTAATTTTTCTCCTCCTAAACGGCTTGACCGATTTTGATGAATTTTATTTTGTACTTATGGGGTCACCTGGATGGTTCTTAGCTAAAGTTGGATCCGATAGGTGGCGCCGTTGTCCAGATCCAGGACTGTGGAGGAACGTCTGCCTACCGGGTCCGCTAGTAATAATAAAAAAAACTAAAATTTTGAAAAAAAAAAAAATATTTGAAGACAACAATTTGAAAGTATCCTAAATTCAGTCAAAGGTGTAAAATATAAAACTTAGGATAAACCACATCGATAAAAATAAAATACTTACAAAAGTAAAAATTTACAATACATAAAATTATATTTTTTTTACTAATACTCGCCTAAATACTTCAAAAAGTTATAAGAAATGTTATAGAGATAAAAATCGGCTTAAAGTTTGTAGAAACTATCGGTTATTGATCCGAAAACAAAGTTATATAAATTTCTTTGGAAGTCCCCAAATTTTTCAAAATTATCCCTACGAAATAATAAAAACTATTTTTGAACTCCAAAGGGAAATCAAATTGAAAAAGTCTGTCTCGAACTGGGATTCGGACCCACCTAATCGTGTTTTACACACATTGCCCTAACGTCAGATATTTTTCACCTTTCATTTAAATAACATAATTTACAGGCGTGTATAGCAATTCTATCATATAACTGTATTACAGATAAGTCTGTGAAATAAGTTTCATATATTGATGCAAATATATTTAATATATGTGAAATTTTTAATATTTGAAGTAACTACATGTTTAACAATTTTAATAGTTCAAGTTTACGTACTTAATATGAATAAGCAGTTATCAACTAATAATTGAACTACATAGTTGCCATGAACACTGGAAATGACCCTTAAGGGTCGAAACTTCAACAAGAAAACGTGATATTGCAAAATTTCTTTCCAAAAGAAGTTAATATTGTTATATAAAATAGTTTTTTATATACTAGTGGAGTTTAGTCAGAATAAGAAAATTAATACATAAAAATTCATTGTTGTATCTAAACCATATGACATATTTTTGACTCGTCCATTGGAAAAGAAAATTTTCTTAAGAATTCAGTAAAATTGAAATATAAGGTTAATGAAAGTGTCTTTTACGTAACTAAAAAAATCAAATTTTTGGACACGTAGTGGGATCATTGTGTAATCCCATCACATGAAGGTGTTTCAGCAAGCAGTGCCCCGTTAGTAATCCCGCAATGGTTGATATCTGAGGCCTTGCGAGTTGTAGAGCCTTAGTAGCCATGCATGGGTTTGGTCCCCTTAGCATGAGCTTACTGATTCTGTGCCCTCTTATCTGTTGCCAGTGAATTTGGTGTTTTGCGGTTATCCACCTGTTCACTGCCTGTCGAGCAGAGGTTTTGCTTATCCCAAATACAGGTTCGGGTCCTGTGAATGGTAGATCTGGTCCCTCTTTGGCGAGTTCATCAGCCATTTCATTTCCTTGGATACCTTTGTGCCCTGGTACCCACGCTAGTTTTACCTTGTTGTGGGTTGCCAGATCATTTAGTATTTCAAGGCAGTTCCAGACAAGCTTTGACTTGATTATGTTTAAATCAAGAGTCTTTAAGGCTGCTTGGCTATCTGAGAGAATTAGGATGGTTTGTTTTTTTGTACTTCCTTTTTAAATTCTCTCGTACACACAATTCGATTGCATGTATTTCAGCCTGAAATACAGTGGCATGTTTTCCCAGTACGATGATGTCGCATTTGGGTTTAACTCCATGTACGCCAGGGCCTGTTCCCTTGTTAGTTTTAGATCCATCCATATACCATACGAGACCGCTAAGCAAGTATTTATTTATCTCCGTATTTACCTCGTTCCAGTTGACCTGGAAGAGTCTGTTTGGCCACCAAACAACCGCTCCATAAGTTATCATGGGTCTTGTTATTTTTGGTTTTAATCTCCATGTTTTTCCAAATGTCCGTCTCCCTACTATGAGAGACATTTTACATTTGTTGGTCACTTTTTGTAAGTGTTGGTTCCAAGTAAGTTTGCTATCTAGGAACAGACCCAGATATTTTACTTGGTTCGTTTTGTTTAGCCTTCCTCCAAACAGAGTCGGAGTTTCTAAAACCTCCAACCTTGTTTTCCGAGTAAAGGTTATGAGTTGTGCCTTGTCAGGGTTTACCAAGAGGTTTTCCCTAACGCACCACATTTCTATCAGCCTAAGAGCTCTTTGCATGAGTTCAAAAACTGTGGTTTGGTGTTTCCCTCGGATAAGGATGACTATGTCATCCTTGGGCGTACAGCCCTTGATTGTTTTAGTGTTTTCAGCAGTTCATCTGCCACTAGGTTCCACAATAGAGGAGAAAGGACTCCACCCTGTGGGCATCCCCTGTGGATATTCACCTGCATGGTTTCACTGAACATTTGTGCATGTACTTGCCGTCCGCATAACATGTCTTCTATCCACCAGCAGATGGTGTCTTCTCTTCCATGTTTGCGAGCGGCAGCTACTATTGATTTAAAGGAGGTATTATCAAAAGCTCCTTCTATGTCAAGAAATGCTCCTAGGACTATTTCTTGGCTACTGAGTCCTCCCTCTATCTTGGTTACAAGATGATGCAGAGCAGACTCACAAGATTTTCCTGATTGATAGGCATGTTGGTTTGTATGAAATGGCCTCTCTATCAGAGTGGTTTGCCGGACATGCTGATCAATCAGTTTTTTCAATCCTTTCAATAGAAATGACGTCAGAGTTATTGGTCTATAGGCCTTTGCCATGGCATCCATTGAACGCCCCGGTTTAGGTATAAAGACAACTCTGCTTTGTTTCCAGGTATTTGGTACATGTTTATGCACCAAACTTGCCCTGTAGAGCCTACAAATATGCGGCCAGCGTTTCTATTGCCTGTTGCAAAAGCACAGGCAGTACCCCATCTGGCACCAGTGATTTGTATGGATTGAAGGTGCGTATTGCCCATGTTACTTTCTCTGTTGTAACTCCGTTTAGCAGTTTCCCACTCTTGGCTGTAGACTCTTTTTTGAGAGTTCCAATTCGTGTGGGTTTGGTTTGCTTTCGAATTTGTTGTGCAATCAGGGAAATGAGTTTTAAGAAGTAGTTCTAATGTTTCCATTCCAGTTTTAGTGTATTCCCCTGTTTGGGTTTTTAAAGTCCCCACATGGTTTATTGGATCTTTTGCTAGAATGCGGTGGAGTCTGCATCCTTCAGTTGTATTTTCAATTTCCTGACAGAATGTTCTCCATGAATCCCTCTTAGATTTCCTAAGAGTTTTGTTATACTCTGTGAGTGTTTCGGTGTATTCCCCCCACTCATTTGTCTTTTTAGCCTTATTAAAAAGTTTACGTTTACTTCTGAGTTTGGCGAGTTCGGTGTTCCACCAGCTCACCTCCCTAGAAGTTTTCCTGTTCTTTAACCAGCAGTTATTGTGATATGATGTTATGATTGTGTCCCGTAGTTGTTCTGCAACTTCATCTATATCATTTTTAGTATTAAGAGTTATTTTAACGGTTTTAACATTGCCCCCAGTTCCTCTCCGTATCCAGTACCAAAAAATTCAAAATTTTTCGGAATTTTCCGAAAAAAAAAATCATTTACGTTGATCACTTTTTTCCAACTCAACAAATTCCCACAGTAATTGCAAAATTCACGAAATTGTATTTAAATTTGGCAGGGACATACATATCGCAATATTTTCCCAGTAAAATAAATGTAATTTGTATGGTTAGTAAATTACATAAACATACGCACTTGTATCTTATTTAGATCTTGATACATATGATAAAAAAAGAATATAAAACTGGTTGTTTTTCACTGTCTTTTATTTGCAGCTCTACTTAAATCGTCACCTCGAAAAAATGCACAAGCTTCCAAAGATTTCTAAACCTCGTGCTACCAGAAAGGATAAAAACAAATCACGAACTTATACAGCAGCAGTTTTAGCAGGGCTTAAATTGTCTCAAAAAGATCATATGGATTTTTTAAAGAATCCTGAAAAACAACTTATTGTAAGAATAACCAGAATAGATCTTGGTGAAATTGAAACTAAAGTAAACAGTTCCAATGATAATGTTAAACAAATACGTAGTAATGAATTAAAATATATAGGTTTAACAGAACAAAGTAGTAAGAAAGATGATATTTTAATACTAAATTTGGAAAAAACAGGACAGCTGTCTGAAGATAATATTATAGAAGATAAAAGTAAAAATTGTCAAACACAAATAGATTCAGAGCAGAATATACAACTAAAATTTTTAAATGATATGCATAGGACCGAACTTTCTGTTAATGGAATTCTTCAAATTGAAGAACAAACAACGTCTCCACATAAAATTAATACCAGAATAGAAGAAAATATTTCAACATTTTCTGATGATGTAGTAGTTGCATGTAACTCAGTGTTAAAGATTATTGAAGAATGTATACTTTAAGTTTTATGACATTTTATGTGTGATTATCTTTAAGACGTTTAATAAAATGTTTCCAAGTTGCATTTTTTTTTATAAAAATAAATGTTGATAAACTTGATTCCTTTTTAAAACATATTGGGCCGTATTCATAAAACTAAAGGATATCCTTGTAAGTATAAGGTTTTAAGTTGAAGAAAAAGGTAGGAGTATAAGCATTTCCTTTTCTTCGTATTCATAATGATTACCTTATACTTGCAAGGATATCCTCCAAGAATAAGTAAAAGATTGTGCGTGCCGCGGCAGATTAAAACCTGTTTTCGATGGTTTGTTTATTTACGGTATTTCTTTCTTATCGGAGTTAATTTAATAAGTGCAGTATACTTCGATCAGAGAAGATGTATTCGTCAAGCAGCGATAGTGAAAGTACAGAAAAAGATAATGCTACAACCGAACTGCAGTTTATAGCAGATGAAATTGCCAATGCCCCCGTAATTTTGGAAAAATCCCAAACACCAAAAATAAAAGCTAGAAAGGATGAGGCTATTAGAAATGTTACCAGGAAGTACGAGGTAACATTTGGTAAAGCACTGGATTCAAAAGGCTTTTTAAAGAAAATAAACAATATGAAAGGAAGGTTAAAGAAAAAAACAGACTTGAATAAAACTGGAAATAAACCAATCAAACTGTTGGAATGGAAGAAAAAGTTATTGAAGGCTATGGAGGGCGACAGTAATCCTACAATTGGAAAAATCGGAGGCGCACTGCAAGTTGGTATTGAAGATGGATCTACTCAGCATAGAGTAAGTAAAGCTTCTACTACGCGAATGGAGACTGAAACAGCCATCAAACCACAATCTAGTAGTACCAAGACTGTCGAATCTCCTCTGCCAACAAGAAAAAAAACACCAATAGAAAAGTACGAAACCAATGAAACGAAAGGACTCACAACCAAAGAGCTTCAACGGCTAGTTCTTTTAGAGCAGTATCAAACAACTAAAATTCAAAGAGAATACTATGAAAAAAAGTTGCAGAGGATGACGCGTGAGGCACCAGAAACAAATATTGTTAACGAGGGGGAGTTATCATACTACAGTATGTAAACAATTTACCAAATTTTCCCGTACAGTATTATATCGATAATATTATAATATGTTGTTATAATAATACTTAATATTATGTTAAGTAACTTATTATTATTATTATTTTTGTAGGATATCTAGTTTCTTTAAAAAATCCAGTATACTTAGATCATAAGGATTTAAAATGTAAAAGAATGGTTAATTTATTATTATTAAAAAATTTGCAATAAAATAAAAATAAAAAGTTTGCGTTATTAAATAAACTTAATAATTATTTGAATTTTGTTTTTTAAAAACCAAAATGATCTAATGGCGTAAATAATAAAACTAAATTAAATTTGAACTTTTATTTTATACAGTACCTAAATTTAATTGTCAAAGTTGTTTATTACAATGCTCAAATTTCTTCTCACTTCTTGTCCCCGTTGGCGAAGAGGTAGCTCAACGTCGCCATTAATATCATTGTCTTCTTCTTCTGGCACTCCTTCTTCAGGTGCTTCAAAATCGATGTCTTTCAAAGTTTTTGCCACATTATGAAGCACAATACAGGCAACAATTATTTTTGGCACATTCTCCAATTTCACTCGGCAAACATGTTGCAAAATAGGAAATCGACGTTTCAGTTGACCAAAACAACGTTCAATTATCACTCTCTTTTTTCAAAAGTTTATTATAATTTAGTTCAGCACCTGGAGCGGGATTTCTGAATGAAGTCATGAGCCACGGCTCTATACCATATCCATCATCAGCAAGTAGCACGATGTTGGTTTTATTTTGTAAATGAACCCTTATTTGTGAATTTCTCCATATTCTTGAATCGTGGACCGATCCAGGCCAACTAACGTCTATACTAGTGAACATTTCTCTTGCATCACAAGTGGCTTGCACATTCAGTGTTGGATGACCTTTTCGGTTGACATACTCATCACCATGGCGATTTGGTTTTAGAATTCCTACGTGGGTACAGTCAACTGCGCCAATTGCTGTGGGAAACCTATACTTGTTTTGCCATAACTGTTTCGCTATCATAAATTCATTGTTGGTAGTCGGAAACTTTATCCAGTCATTTGATTGCGCCACTATGCTGTCAATTACGGTAGTTACTGTACGAGATACTGTAGCTTGACTCACACCCAGTTCTTGACCAATGCCTTTCTGATATCCAGGGTCACTGAGATAGCGTAAACATATCTGCATTTTAAGGACGGATGATAACGCACCTCCTCGAGTTTCAGCATTTATTCCCAAAAATCTGTTAGCAAGCCATCGCATATTTCCCTCTTCAAACCGGTATAATTCTTTGTAATCACGAACAGGTGTTGATAAACGCTGCTTGTAGTGTTTTATCTTTCTCAATTCCACAATATCTGCCATCGCTACAACTGATCACTACACGACTGATGTGAGTGTGCTACTGACCACACTCGAAATTATTGAAGGATATCCTTTTTAGTTAGAGTAAAAGGTAACGTTTATGAATAACCAAATACTTTTTGTGAAGGATTTGCTCATACTCTATAAGTATAAGGTTTTACTCGGAATATTATGAATGCGAGATGAAGGATTTCCTTTCTATTCTCCAAGTATAAGCATAACCTTTTTTTTTACGAATACAGCCCATTGTGTTTCACTGAAAAAACGAAGTGAACGGGTGAATAGATAAAGGAATTGCTGAATGATAAAAAATAATCTTGACCACTTTCTTGTTATCTTAGATTTCTCTAATGCTCCGGGGTTAAGTCATAGTAGTAGCCACAAAAATCCTCAATTTACTTCACAAAATATGTTCTTCTATCATTTCCTACGAAAACGCATCTTTCAACTGGGTGTTTAAGGATTACTCTTTTGTTTTTTTTTTCTGTAACATTGGATAGTTGGTTTTTTAAATACAACGTAAGATAAAAAATCACAATAAATTTTAAGTGTTGCACTATGATTGTAGAGTACAATCAAAAATAAAATAATTTAAAAAACTGTACTAACAACTATTATCGGTATAACGATAAATGTGGCCACAATGCAAATAAAATAGGATCTGCATGTTTTAAATCCCTACATCTAAAATTTTGTAGATATCTGACAATCAGTTTTCAAGAAAATTATATGTACGATGTACTCATACTTTTCTTCCACTCTATATCTGTTTCTGGTTTTAAAATGGACGATAAGGGGATTTTTATTTTATCCTGTTCTCTACTTAAGAACTATAAAACTTAAATAGTTTGTGATCGATCATCTGAATACTTTTTTTTTAATGCAAAATAATTATTTCATCATAATTTGCTGGACCTAAATTTAAAACTTTAAGTGAACATTTTTCCACTAAAACCATCATCAAAAACATTTAAAAAGCAGTCAAAAAATTAATTACCTACCTGCCTTTCATTTAAGCTATCACGCAATATAGGCATTGGCGGTTTGCCCGTAAGGGCACTTGGGCACGTGCCCTAGTATAATAAACAAAAAAAAATAACACATATTTTATATTTTCCTCAATGCCTATTATTATTTTATCTAATATTCAGCGCAAACCGCGTTGGCACGACACTGGACGACCGGGCGTTGAGCGACGTTCCGAGAATTCCGAAATTAAGTGGAAGATGGGCACAGTAAATGTGTGCCTCTGTTGTTTTCTCTCATTATGATGCGAAAAACAAGGACAACGACATAATCGCTTAGCAAGAGATGAACACATGCGATGGATTATACGTCACAAGCGGGGCGCTGTCCTAATCGTGACGTGTTGTACCCATGGCACAGATTACCTAGACCAGATACGAATGTACGCAGCGGCATCTTTACCGGCTCCCTCACAAAAGCGATGCCGTTTCGGCTTAAGGTGCGCGTTTGTTGGACCATTGTAATAATTTATTTATTGCGATTACGAAAAAACGTTAGTTGGACCATTGGAATAGGTAAAAATAAAACTACAAAGAAAAATAACTTTTTTTTATAAAGCAGTCAAAAATATGATGAAAAAAAATCAATAATATATATAAATGGGACAAAATTTTAATTTTTCTTTTAGTGTTGTCTGACTTTTTCGAGGATTTCAAATCTCTGTTTGCATATTTAAGAGTATAAAAAATTCTGAGTCTTATAAATAATTTAATGGTGTACATTTTCGCAAATTGTTGGCAAAGATGACCAAATTCTACTTTGCTCATCTCAAGAATGCGTTGGAAATTCCAGGCTTAGTTGACAAACTATCAAATAGAGATATAAATATTTTTTCTAATTTGAAAATATAAAAGAAATTTTTCGCTGGGAGATTTTAAATTGCCAAACACCTTTTCTTCAGAGTCGTATGCTTTAAAATGCGTTAATAAGTTAGAATTGTTAAGTAAATTGAATTCTTGTGAGAAATTCACGCAAATTTTGTAAGAGTGGATATGTAATGATTTTTTGATTAAATAGCCACATACATAGTTAAATGCATTTTGAGTGGTCACATTTAGCTCCCTGTAGTCACATTTAGAAATTGTTATTGCCCCAACTGATTGTACATGAGGTTCGGTTTCCGTTTTATGATAATTATTTGAAACACGGTTTGGTTCTGTAAGTAAAATGTCATGCCATGTTATCCATCGAAAAAAAAAAAAAAACTTATTCGGTCCATTCCAAATTTTAATGATCTGGTCATCGATCACTTCGCTAGCCAAAAATCCAGAAGAATGGACTTCAACTATACGAAATATACAGTACAACTGCAGCGGTACCTAGCAGTTAGCCTTCAATTTTGTAATATTTAATTTGTTTTGAAATATATTTAATTTTTATTAAGCGAATAACTTGTTTTCCTAAGGGAAAAACGAATCCCAGGATTCCTTTCCAGTGTGTGCCCCACTGCCGCTAGTGCCCACGAGCCGCCACTGAATATAGGTATATGACCTGAACCTGATGGTCCCCTTTGCATAGGGATATATCGTTACTGTATTCAATCATTGTACATTTTAGTATCGTACTAGTATTTATACCTTTGTGCGTTAGACCAGTAAAATGTGCAGCTCTATCATACTCTTCTTCTTGTTGTGCAAATTAATATTAAAGATTGTTTTGGTATCAAATGCTGTTGAAACATTCAACATATATTTCCCAGTCCAACTCTGTACGTTTGAATTCTCGAGACCTTACACAATCCGCGTCACAGCATACGTCACAAGCCATGTAAACACTTATTTTTAAAATGATTGGGTAAGAGGTGTCAACGCAAGCGACACTATCTGGTCCTCCGTAGTAATTGCTCGGAGATCTCGTCCCACTTATTTTACCGTTAGAGCTTCATCAACTCTCACCAGAACCACTTCGTTTCGCTGTCACTTGCTCATCCATTGAGATGTAGTAAAAATAGAAATACAGGCCAGAGTGTGATAAATTTGCATAGTTAGTGTTTTTATCACAATTACTAAGGTCCGTATTTATAAACAGAACTCAGCTGAGCCATCCTTGAACGAAAATCGAAGTTCGGTTATATCGCGTGAATTTAGAGATGGGTACTAACAAATCCGTAAATGTACATAACAGTTACAGATTTGCTAATATCCGTCTCTAAATTTCAGTGTAACACCGGAACCACCTGGAACTTGTAGAGACGTTGTAACCACAAAGCACATAGAGGTTCCACGTGAATGACCAAGGTCAAAACCGACAACTGACATTTTTTATGCTATTTGCTCCAAACTCTAGATGGGGCTACTGGTAAAATTCTGATTTCTTACTCCATTTTTAAGCTTTATGGGAGAAAAACTTAACCAAAGACTCCAAAGATGTGACGTGTATTTATTTATGTTTTTGGTTAATCTCATTTTTCCGTCTGATTTTAGTGATTTTTTGTTGGCTTTGGCTTTTGGTTTCTGTTTATAGTTTCGTCTTAGATATTTGCAAAATTGTGATGTTTCGTTTTTCTATTTCCTACTGTGTTTTGCAATAATTTTGGTGCTACCTGTGGGTGCTACGTTGAAAACTTCGAGAAAAACTTCATTGATTCACCATGCACCTGCATCATAAAAAGACAAACGGGTATAACAACTAATTGATAATCAATTTATCACTGGACTAGATTCCGAAATCATTTTTCACACAAGAGAGTAATGCACAAAGCAGTGGAGTAATACCCTTAGATAATATAATAGCAGATAGGCCACCACTGCATAAAGTTATACAATATTAATCTCGCTATCATATAATCAGTATCTCTCTTTCTAATGAAGGCTTTCTCACTCGTTTTAGAATTCTCATCAGTAGCGTACCGTAAAACAATTTCGCTGGGTCATTTTAAATGCGAAAATGTTGACCAAATAGAATATAAAATAAAATATTTTAAAAGGTAGGTAGGTGCATTTTTAATGAAGTGAAAACAAAATATGACTTTTTTGTTATGAATATAATATTAATAACAATTACTTTTAACACCACAACACGAACAAATTTAAATTAAACACTGGAATAAATGTCTGAGAAAAGCTCTGTAAAACTGACAAATACAAACAAAGAGATAGAGGTATTAATCTATTTCTCTCTAATTAGAATTCTCGACCATATTATCATGGCGACACAAACATTGTTTACTGTCCTCTCTTTACTACTTACTTACTCTGAGGTAATACCACCATCTGTATTTGGAAGGAAAATACCTATTTATCATTGAATGAATAGTTAAAAGGATTCACTCATACAATACCTATATTACATTTGTCCTCGGTTTAAAAGACAATTATAAAATATATTATTTTAGTGTTAATAAAATGTAATATCCTAGTCTCTACTTCACATTTAAATTATTGATAGGTATTTTAAAGATTTGAGATTGTATACCTATTTGCTGCAAGTAAGTATTCGTTAAATATGTATTAATTATTTGTATTTATTTTTATCTAATAATATTTATTTAAGTTATTAATAAACATATTTTAAGAATGTTCTATTTTATTATTTATTGATATATCTTATATTTATTTAATGATAATATGCAGAACCAACTCTCCACATCAGACCCCTGCTTATAACAAATTAATTCCTCAAATTTGGTATAATCGACCTAATTTAAATTATTTTGTAAAATAAAAGTTTCGAACTTACTAGTTCCATTTTTTATTTTATAAAATAATTTATGTGGAAATCATTTAAAATTTAATTTAAAACTACTACCTACTCCTAAAAATTACAATTTGAATTTATCGCCATCTGTCAATTGTCATTTTAGTTCCAGTTCCAAACACAAGGTGGCGCTAATTTGGTTTAAAAGTTTAACATTCGTGGGGTCTCTAGAAGATACGTGCTTTGTGGTTGTAACCGAAGTTCGATTTTAGTTCTAGGACGACTTACCCAACCCAAGTGAGTTGTTTATAAATACGGACCTTAGTGTAAGCCAGTGTTGTTAATAGGTTTGTGCCAACAACGATCCGAAACCAGTCATTGGCAATATATAATTTAGGGTCCTAATAATCTACTGTGCAGAAACCTGGTTGTTGGGACAAACCTATTGGTCTACAATAGTAAATGGTGTTAAACGTTGCCAGTAGGTATTTTATTTCCCACCAGCCGACGGTAATTCAGCTTGATACAGTCTATTAAAGTCTGATAATAATGTAAAAAATATGAGGGGTAAGCACTTGCCTCGCACAAATGCGGTTCCTAAATAATTAATGGTGGGTTCTGGGTGTAATACATTATGATAGTAATTTAAAACTTATTTAAATAACTACAAACTCAACAAAATTATTTAACATAAAAAAAAATTATATTAAACAGACGTTAATAATTTTTGTGAATTATTAAATTATAAGTGATGGTTCATCATAATTAAATGTTTTCTTGCAAAAATACAAATATGCCTCAGCCAGGAATATAACATCCATGTTTATTCCTCACTGCTTTATCAAGTAGACTACCGGATATCAGATTCCAAATCTAGTCAGTACACAAATTGTTATAGTTTTGTTATGATTCATTTAAATACTCTAAAAAGATCTAGGTATAAGTGGAATCTTGAATAAGAACAAATAATTTGAATGTATTATTTAATATTGGAAACTCAGTATATTAAAAAAACGAAAATAAATATTAACATTACATTTACTGTCAAAATATAAAATAAAGTTGAACGCACTTTTTCTTATCCAACATCTTTCACTAATAGGAATCACATAAGTATTTATGTAATCTAAACATATTATAAAGTGAAATCAAATTAAGATGGCACTATGTCAAACATATCTTGCTCAATAGGTTTGGACACCCAAGATCCCAATCGTTCTTTAATAAATGATTCATAAAGACTTTTTTTAGCTTGGTTATAGCTTGTTACTAGTTCTTTAGCTTCTATTAGTGTATTGGGTACTTTTGAACAATCTGGTATACCATTTAAAGTCCCAAATAGTTTAACAAATCTAGTAGCTAAGCTTTGCTTGCTAACTATAGATATACTTTTCTCCGGTTTTCCAGTATTAGCATTTACAACTTCTGGTTTTTCCATTCCTGTTATCCAAATAACGGAAAAGTTGGGTGCTTTTTGTGGCTGTCTTACTTCGACAGACGTAAGTCTCATCATATTTGGTCGGTTCAGTAAAAATGGGGGAGGCAAACCTTGTAGAGATGACTCAATTCTTCCACAAATTGCTCTGAATAAATGACTTTCTTTCATTAAGCTCCCTAAAATAATGGATTTTAAATAAATAGGTTCTATAAAGTAAGATAGTAAAGCTCCTTGTAAGCCTAACACATTCCATCGACAAATTTTATCTGAACAAGACATTGTTAACAATCTTTCCCCTTGCACAATTCCATCCCAAGTTTGGATAGCAGCAGCATTTTTAACAGGTATAGTGCCTTCTCCTGATTCTATCTTCGACCTTAACTGGCCTCTAGATATTCGATTTGGATGTTTATCCACTGAAGAATGTTCTTCATGTGGACTGAAGATTCTAGCATCTCCACAAGGAGCTGTGTTGATATATAAATGAAACTCTATGCCTTCTTTGAGTTTGAAACCTTTTTTATCGCTTTTTGGTTCAAATATAGATGAATCACTTATTTCAGTTTTTAATAATTCCAATTGATCATAAAAATAGTTAATTAAGCATCTTCTTGATAAAATTTCTGCATGCATATCATTTAGAGATGCCCCATTTATGCTTATATATTCTCCCGAGACACATTTGGTACCTGTTGTTACAGAAATTACCTCAGCATTTTGTAAATCGCCATTTTTAGTCATCACTATTCCTGCCAATACTTTTCTCTTCATATGTACAGTATCATTTTCCATTAATGTCACAAATTTTGAATTTACTAATCCTCCAACTGTATCTGCAAGTTCTTGATATTCTGCATTTTGGAATACTGAGTCTTCAACGGACATATTTAACACATGGGGGTTTGTATAGTTGATAAGTTTACTTAGTGCTGCAGATGCAGCTGCATTTTTAGCCAATTTTTTGTTTGGTCCTGATCCAGTAAATGTCTAAAAAAGAAATACTTGATATAAAAATATGATTTATTTTTAAATAAATTTCAATTACTTGGTAGCCTACAGGATGGGTTTAAAATCATATTTGCCAAATCAATGTCAATCTGTTCACAGCCTTCTTTGTATCTGTAACGTGTGGAGAGTGGGTTAGCTACTTCACATAGGCCTTACTTAGGCCCATTGTGCATCATCCTAGTTCGTGAGCCAGCCTACACATTTGATGTAGTTTATTTATTTATATTTACATTTCCATAAGACAATATTAATTGTATATAAAAATGAACTATATGTAGAAGCTACCTATAGCTGAATGATAAAATACTTGACGTCGCTAAGCTCTTGTATCGGCCGTTATTAGCCAATACTTGACGAACACAAATTTTCGATGGTCTCTTCTTCTTGTGCGCACCCTCTACAGAGTGCAGATTCTGATAGCCCCATGCTATGGAGATGCTTCCGTAATTAACAATGATCAGTCAGAGTGCCTGTGATCAGGCACAGATTCTGTCTAATCATAGTCAACTATTTGTTTGCTGTAGTGTTGTTAGGATAACTTAAAAGCTCCCTGGCACCTACGCAGTTTATTGTTCATCCCATCTTTCCTTGAATTTCACAAGGGAATGTTCTTTAATTAGGTTTGTCACTACCAATGTTGTCACTCAAATGAAAGGGCCAGGTCCAAAAAGTATTTGGTTGACTGCCATCTTGGCTAGTGAATCAGCAAGACATTTTCATTTCAATGTGGCATGACCTTTGATCCATCTTAGGGTGATCTGTTCACAGCCTTGGCAAACATCTGGGATTCCACAAGGCTGTTTTAGGACTTCTTTTTATGCCACATAAACATCAATATTACAAATATTTTAAACATGATGGATGGTATTATTTTGATTGCAGTGATCAAAATTGTAATAGACATTAGAATTTATTAGATAACTGGTGCTTAGGGAATGAATCATCCCATAATGTAATTTTAATTTATCTATAAATTTTGTGTAAAAATGGATTTTATGTTTGCTTGTTTAAATAAAAGTTATTTGTAATATCATTCTCTATAATTCTTGCCCTATAAATAATTTCTCTAAAATGGACCGTATTCGAGATATTTGAAAAAAAGGGTTAATTTTGAAAACAATTCAAAAATGGATAAAGAGAAAAACACCAAATTTTAAATATGAGCATTAATTCATCCTGTGGCGAAATGATTGAAAATTGGACATAGTCTGAACATCTGGGGGGTACTTTATGAGAGGTCGTCTTTCTACTTTATGGAATAGGTATATCTGTTATTTACGCTTGGATAAGAAAATTATTCAAATAAAAGTTGCTTGTAATGTTTTATTCTCTATAATTTTTGTCTCATACATAATTTTCCGAAAATGGTCCATATTCGAAAAATTTGACAAAAGTTCAAAATTCTAATTTTTAAGAAAAATGTTCAAATAAAAGTTGTTTGCGATATCACTCTATAATTTTTATTCTATATTATAATTTCTCTAAAATGGACCGTAATGGAAAAATTTGAGGAAAAGTGTAAAATTTTAATTCGTTGGCAATGAATATTTACAGGAGTGATACAATAGGTTGTTCAAAATAAAAATTGTTAAAAAAAATGATGGATTTATATATGACACTGTCAGAAAATTTGCTACCAGAACATAGAAATATGTCATAAAAACCAAGTGTCCAAACAACATTAAATCTGCTCTACTGAAAAGTTGACTAGAATAACATAGTCAGTTTACCTCCGAGGTACAGATTTATGTCTACTTACTATGGTTTATTTGCATTATGACTTCTCCTATGTAACATGATTTTAAAGTACAAATAAATAAGCTATTATTACCCTGCTAGGTACCAGAGTTGGGTCGGATACAGGAAAAAAGTATCCGAGTACCGGATACGGATACTTACAATATATCCGGATACTTTCACCTGAAAAGTACTCGGATACAAGTATCCGGATACTTTCTCAGTGAGTTAAAATAATGTTTTCATACCAATAGTTAAAATTATGCAATACGATTGATTACGAATAACAATAAACAATACTAGGCATCAATAAATTGTTTATTATTTTTATTCTGTGAATATAAAACCTTAAAACAAACTGAATAATAAAACATAAAGGTGCGTGTAAATAAAACGAGTCGCGCCTGAACCGCGCCAAAAACCAGCCAGTGTCGTGTTCATATAAATCTAACGAAATAAGCTCGTTGTTGGCGCGACTTGCCATGTTTATACAACCTTTCAATATTCTCGTCAGTGTCAAATGTATTCGACAATCCATTTTTTGTGGATCCTCCAACGGGGTTCTTGGTAGAGTCGAGAGCGTCGAAAGGAGGAGGAGTGAGAGATTGCTGAATGTTTCGTTCTGGCATAGGCAAAGCTGGCTCGTATATTTGATCTTGTCAGATCTGTATACTTTATTGATGTTGATGACGACATAACACATAATCAGTAACATTATGAGTAACAATGTCATACATGTATGAGTACATTATAACACATACAATTCAGCTATAAGCCTTTTCTTCATATCTTTTTGTGTGCATGCGTCTGTATCAGCCATCTTTTTCGTAGTTTTTTTGTAAACAAGCATGTTAGAATACCCACGTGAAAAAAATTATGATCGATAAATACTAATTTAGGTATATTCGTTCAAAAAAAAAAAAAAGAAAATATAAAGTAATAATAAGTGTCGTAATTAAAAAATATTTTTTGCCATCAATTATAATTATGTTACTGTAGCGAAAAGAAAACGAAACGGTGTTGTTATGAAGTATGTAAAAGTGATACACGGTATAATTCATTCAAAGACAATACATATTTTATAAATTTTCCAAAGCTTTGGCTAAAAATATCGGAAAAAATTATTAAATTATCAGGCAAAATACATATTAAAACATGTTTAAAATGCGCAAAAGGTTTTCGATCGATTGATGATGTTACTAAAGATATATTTGTTCACTACATTTTCATGAAGAAAGTGGTCCAACAGAAGAAAATCCTTATCTGGTATTACACAATAGTTTCATGTTGATTAAAGTTTTTTTGCAAGTACTAATATTGGTTGGCATAATTAATTAGAATAGAGTTATGATTATTTTTTGTTTTCATTAATTTTTTACACGGTGAACAAGTATTGATACACCTAACCTCTCAATCAGAACACTTTTTTTTGTCTTGTTGCAAACGTCTAAGTCACTTTAACCACCTTTTCAAATGCTCACAACTATGTGCTTCCACAAAGTTATTAAAAAAGTTAAACACCATCAACTATTTTTACTAATGATTGATTTGTGTGTAGAGATAATATTGCTTTCCCAGCCATTGTCGATCAAAACGGTACGAAACTTTTGAATTGCCGCTATTTCAACATGGCTGCTGCGCTTGCGCTCATTACATGATGAAAAGCCTATTTGTTATATCATTTTACTTTTAATATTTTTATTAAATGAAAGTAATACCCCGTTGATTTTATTTATTTGTCAAGCGATTTAAATGAAATTTTACACGAAATTCTGTATTCTCTTTTATTTTTACATTTTTTTATCTAAGCTGATTTTCCGAGATTTTTTTTTAATTATACCATTTTTAAAAACTGGATTTTAAATAAAATAGATAGTGAAATTACTTTAACTATCTTTAAATTCCAAATTTCTACTCTTTTTCTATTAAGAGGAATCTATTCTCCTATTCTTTACTTGATTTTTATTTCTCAAGCGATATAAATGTATTTTGTTTACACATTTTATGCGAAATTCTATATATCGAAATTTTTATTCTTAATTTTTTTTGTTATTTTAAGCTGATCTGCCAAGATAAAAATATATATTTTTTAATTATGCCCTTTTTTTAAAAACTGGCTCCCGATAAATCTATATAATGACATTATGTAACCATTCCTAAAATTTCAAATTTATTTTTACTTTTTTAAAATTACTTTAAAAATGGATTTTTAAAATAATTTTACACGTTAACAGAAAAAAGTAGAAATTTTAAATTTCAGGAATGGTTACATAATGTCATTATTTAGATTAGGGGGAGGCAGTTTTTTAAAATTGAGTGTAATTAAAAAATATATTTTTCGAAAAAATGCTCGGACAGGTCAATTTTGTTTACTCAAAGCGCAATTTTTTAAATAGAATTCAATTTTCCCCCACTTCCCATTTTTGGGCAGTGACGTCATTGACAATTTTTTTAAATAGTAACCCCAATTTTTTTTTCTTGATTTTGTTAGATCTTGCAATTTCCTACTCGGAAACATAATATTTGAAATATCTTACATAACAAATTTTTTTGAATAAAAGTCATTTAAAGATTAGACACATAAATTTTATTTTATTTTGAGAACACAATAATTGAATAAAAGGTAATTATTTGTAATTAAGTGCTTAATCTAACAAAATAATAATAATAATAATAATAAAAAAGAATTTGTGAAATTGTCATTAAATTTTTTTTATTATTAATATTTTTTTTTATATGAAGCAATTTCTTTTATTCATTTATTGTGTTTCAAAATAAAATAAAATTTATGTATGTGATCTTTAAATGACTTTTATTCAAAAAAAATTGTTATGTTAGATATTACAAATATTATGTTTCCGAGTAGGAAATTGCAAGATCTATCAAAAAAAAAAAAAAAAAAAAATTGGGGTTACTATTTAAAAAAATTGTCAATGACGTCACTGCCCAAAAATGGGAAGTGGGGGAAAATTGAATTCTATTTAAAAAATTGCGCTTTAAGTAAACAAAATTGACCTGTCCGAGCATTTTTTCGAAAAACTTCCATTATAATGAATTTATTCCTTTCATTTGAACCATACTGTATATATTTATCTTGGCAAATCAGCTTAAATTAAAATAAAAATTAATATAGTTTCGTGTAAAATGTGAAAAAAAAAAATCATTTAAATCGCTTGAGAAATATAAATCAAGTATTTTTTAAGGGTATTACTTCCTCTTAATGGATCAGTTACGATTGTGGT